CAATCCCAGCACTTTGGGATTTCAAAGCAAGTGGATTACCAGAGCCTGCGGACTTGAGACCAGCCTGGGCAACTTAATGAGACCTCATCTCTACAATACATCAAAAACTAGCCAGGTGTGGTAATGTGAGCCTATAGTTCCAGCTACTTGGAATGCTGAGGCAGAAGGATCGCTGACATCCTTGTCTTGTTCCTGACCTTTAGAGGAAATCTTCTTGTCTTTTAGCCTAGTGTATGATGTTAAACTGTGGATTTTTCAGAAATGCTTTTTATTGTGTTGAGGAAGTTCCCCTTTATTCCTAGTATGTATAATGTTTGCTTTTATTATGAAGCAGTGTTGGATTTTGTCAGATGCTTTTTATGCGCCATTTGAGGTGACCATGTGATTTGTTTTCTTCATTTTATTAATGTGATGTATTAAATTTATTGGTTTTTCTTATGGTGAGCTACCTTGCATTCCTGGAATAAATTGTACTTGGTCATGATGTATATTTTTATATACTGCAGAATTTGATTTGCTAATATTTTTCTGAGAACTTTGGCAACTGTATTCATAAAGGTTATTGATCTGTGGTTTTCTGGTGGGTTTTTTTTTTGCCTGGCTTTGATTCGAGGTAACTCATGGAATAATTTAGGAAATGTTCCTTCTTGTTTTTTGAAGAATTAGAGAATTGGCATTAGAATTTCTTTAAATGTTTGATAGAATTCTCCAGTGAAGGCAGCCAGTCTTGAACTTTGTTTTGAGGATTTTGATTGCTGATTCACTCTCCTGATATGAATCTCTTCAGATGTTCTTTCTTTTCTAGTCAGTTTTTGTAGTTTGTGTGTTTCTAGAAATGGGGCCATTTCATCTAGGTTATCTCATCTGTTGGTGTACAGTTGTTTATTGTATTCTTTTATTGTTCTTTTCATTTCTGTAAGGTCAGTAGTTGTGTCCCCACCTTCATTTAATTCCTAACCTGTAGTTAGGTCCTTGAAATGAGATGTTTTTAAATGTGGGCATTGCCGCTATAAATTTCACTCTAAACACGGATTCAGCTGCATCCGAGTTTCTGTGTTTTCATTTTCAGTCGTCTCAGTGTGTTTTTTAAGTTCTCTCTAGTCTTCCCTTGATCCTGCAGCAAGGAGAAGTCCCTCTGTTTGGGGCCCCAGGCCTTGACACACTCACATGGGCACACACTTGGCTTCCAACAAGTTGTTACGTGTTGATGGTTTTATCTTGCCAGTTGTCTTGTATGACATTCGGTAGAATCTGCTCTAGTAAGCAGATTAACAGGTCCTCATTCTTCCTGCAGGTTCCTGTCACTGTCCTGATAGATTAAAAAAAAGACACTGATTTTCCCAGCTGGTTTTTTTTGGTGGTTTTTTTGGGGGTTTTTTTTTGAGTCGGAGTCTCACTCTGTCGCCCAGACTGGAGTGCAGTGGCTGCTCCCAGCCACCGCAGCCTCGACCTGCTGGGCTCCGGCGACCCTTCCGCCTCAGCCTTCCGAGTAACCAGAATTACAGGTGCGCGCTACCATGCCCGGCTCAATTTTGATTTATTATAGAGATGAGGTCTCGCTGCCCAGGCAGGTCTCGAACCCGTGGGCTCAGGCAATACACTCACCTCAGCCTCCCAAAGGCATGGGATTACAGGCTGAGCCACCGAGCCTGGCCCAGCTGTGTTCTTATAAGGACATTAGCATTGCTTTTTTTAGCTCTCCATATCTCTGAGCCAAGATCCAAAGCTCCACTGTATGACTGCAATTTTTTCCAATTTAGTGAGAAAGATTTGTTTAGTGTTTTTGTTTGTTTGTTTTTTAATGTGCAAGTTGCACCAGAAAAAATGTTGTACGGAGGTTATCTTTTTTTTTGAGTTGGAGTCTCACTCTGTCACCCAGACTGGAGTGCAGTTGCCGCTCCCGGCCACTGCAGCCTCGACCTGCTGGACTCCGGTGATCCTTCCACCTCAGCCTTCCAAGTAGCCGGAATTGCAGGCATGCACTACTACGCCCAGCTGGTTTTTTGGTTTTTTTTATTTATTGTAGAGATGAGGTTTCGCTGCCCAGGCAGGTCTTGAACCTATGGGCTCAGGCACTCCACTCACCTCAGCCTCCCAAAGGCGCGGGATTACAGGCTGAGCCACTAAGCCCAGCTTTGGAGGTTATCTTATAGATGTCAGTCATGTTGGTTAATTTTGTCATTTAAGTCTTCTGTATCAATGGCCAGTTAACTTTTTTGTAAATGTCAGATAGTAGGCTCTGTGGGAAATACGAGGTGGGTCCCCCAAAAAACAGAATTATCTTTTTGGAGGGTTGACCCCTAGTAGTACACTTGGAATTTGTTTCTTCAGATCAAACAGTCAACCAAAGTTTTGGGGGCTTTTGTTTTGTTTTGTTTTTATTTTTTTGAGTCAGAGTCTTACTTTGTTGCCCCGGCTGAAGTGTACTTGCATGCTCACGGCTACCACAATCTTGATCTGCTGGGCTCAGGCGATCCTTCCATCTCAGCCTTTCAAGTAGCTGGGACCACAGGTGCATGCCACCACACCTGGCTAATATTTATTTATTTATTTTATTTATTAATTATGGAGACAAAGTCTCATCATGTTGCCCGGGCTGGTCTTGAACCACTAGGCTCAGGCAATCCTCTTACCTCCAACTTCCAGAGTGATGGAATTACAGGTGTGAGCTCCTGCACCCAGCTAACCAGAATTTTTATCTGGAAATTGAAAAGGTTCTGCTACGATTTGCAGAAGAAACATACCAAGTAGTGGCAACCAGGTGACTGGTTCTTCTACCATAGCAATGCACCTGCCCACACCTCACTGAGTGTTCAGCAATTTTTGACCAAAACCAGCATGACCTCCATGCCCCAGCTTCCCTACTCACCAGATCTTGCCCCTAGCAACTTTTTTTTGTTTCCCCAGAGGAAAGAAGTCCTCAAAGGGAAATGTTTTGCTAATATGGCAGAAGTGAACAAAAAACAGAAGTACTAAAAGGCATCAAAATTGACAAGTTCAAAAACTGTTTTGAGCAGTGGAAAAAGCATCTTGATAGGCGGATTGCATCAAATGGAGAGTACTTTGAAGGTGACTGAAGTTTAAACATGTAAGAATAAATACATAATGTCATATAGTCTTTGTTGCAAATACTAAACTCTATAGTTGTAGTGTTATAGCAGCCATAGATAATATGTAAATAAATGAAGGTGACTGTGTTCCAGTAAAATTTTTTTGTACAAAAAGACAGTGGTAGTGGTGGTATTTTTCTATTAAAAAATAAGGCTAGCTGTGGCGGCTCACACCTATAATCTCAGCACTTTGGGAGGCTGAGGTAAGAGGATTGCCTGAGCCCACGGGTTCAAGACCAGCCCAGGCAACTTGGCAAGACCTCATCTCCACAATAAATCAAAAAATTAGCCAGGTATAGTGGTGCACACCTGTAGTTCCAGCTACTTGTAAGGCTGAGGTTGAAGGATCGCCTGAGCCCAGCAGGTCGAGGCTGCAGTGGTCGTGAGCATGCCACTGCTCTCCAGCCTGGATAACAAAGTGAGACTACAACTCAGAAAAGTCTATGTAATTGCAGTGGACTGGATTTGACCTTTGGGCTATAGCTGCTAACTCCTGATCCTTGTTTTCCTCAGTCTGCTCTTCTGTGAGTCAGAGAGAATTGAATTAAAATCACGAATTATTGTAGATCTGTCGATCTCATTTCTGTCAACTTTTGTTTATATACAGTCAGTTATCATTATTCTCAGTAGTAATTTTCCATAAAGTCACCACAAATACTGATTTAATAAATACTAAACCATTGCTCAGGGAGGAAATACAGGATTAAGTTCCAGCAAGCCTCTAGTCATATTTTTGTCAACCAGTCAGTACATAATGGTGTTTTATGTGTCATGCTTTTTTTTAAAGACACCTTATTTAATATTGTTGATTCATAAACATTGTACTAATATGCAGTAGCACCATAACTAATGCCTGAACAAAGGTTGTCTATCATAGGTATTTTCTCCATGTGATATCACAGTCTTCTTGTGCTTAAGAACTCTTGACAGCACTTCAGTTATTTTTTAAAAATTAAATCAAGATAAAACATAAAAATGCAATAAATATGGAACTAAATACACCAAGAAAAGGACACTTGTTTACAGTACCAAAATGGAAACAAGGCAAAACGTGAGTCACCTTGCTCAACCTCAGCTAGAAATGTGTACATCAGGCAACTCAAATTTTTTACCTTTCTACAGATGTCTGTGAATGACTGCAAAATAACTGCAAGTGTTGATGTTGAAGTTAGAAATAAATTTTAGTGAGTAGGTGAATTCACAAATAATCTGTAAATAATAAGTGATTATAATTGGAAGCTATGTTTGCAGGTGCACACCACTTTAGGTTTTTTATATCTTCTATTGAAAGGACCATTTTATTATTATAAATTGTTACTCATCTTTTATAATTCTTTCTTAAAATCTACTGTTTTGATATTAGCATAACATCAACTTTCTTTTGGTAAATGATTACATGGTATAACTTTTTCCATCCCTTTACTTTTAATTTCCATAGATCTCTGTGTATAACGTGTTGAGTGTGGTTGTGTTTCAATAAAACTTAATTTATTAAATAAGTGGCAAACCAGATTTAGCCCACAGACCATAATTTACTGACCCTTGCACGAGAGTGTGCAGAGGGTAGTACACTGGGGTGTGGAGTAAAAATTGGGGTGTGGTATATGTAGGAAATTGATTTACATTTTTTAGCTACAAAAATAATTAAAAAGCAGAAGTTTTACTAATGTCTCTATTGGTAGTACAAGCATACAACTCAAATGTATAGATATTAATTATGTTGTAAACATTTTTATTAACTGAACCACCTTCAAAGCATAAAATAAAATTAGATCCAAAATATTCATTTTAAGCTTCTTACAGTAAACATGGTAAGGATTGTTTTCATGGGTATTTTCTGTATTACCTAATTCTGAACCCTTCAGATTGAACAGAAATGTACTGTTGCAGGCATCCGTGTCATTCAAGGATGTGACTGTGGAAATCACCCAGGAGGAGTGGCAACAAATGGGCCCTGTACAGAGGACCCTGTACAGAGATGTGACACTGGAGAACTACAGCCACCTAGTCTCAGTGGGTGAGCATATCAGCAGAATCACCCTTGAAACTCCATATAGAAGATGTTTCATTTAAGTTCAAACATGTGAACACTTTATTTGAAGTTTAATGCTATGTAGGCTTTTCATTCAGAAGTCTAAAGTAACTAAACCCATTTGAGGACTAAAAAGAATGTTTGTATTATCAGCTCCCAGTGATAAATTCAAAGGAGCACTTTTAGGATGCTGCTTCTGAAGCTGTATTTTCTTCTACTTTTGGAGACCAAAAAGCTCATGTGTCTGGCCTAAGTCCTCACCTGCTCTTTGTTTACAGGGAACTGCATTTCTAAGCCAGAGATGATCTTCAAGTTGGAGCAAGGGGAGGAGCCTTTGTTCTCAGAGGAGGAATTCTCAAACCAGAGTCACCCAAGTGAGTTACTGAGCACTAGGAGGCAGAATTCTGCAGGTGCAAAGTAAGAATTTGTTCATAAAGACATTAAAAGGATAGAAAGACAAGCCACAGAGTAGCACTATGTATATGTAGCACAAGTAACCTGGAAAGTACAAGATTCCTGAAAATGTTAAAGAATTTTTGCAGGTCAGCCTGGGAAAAGATAGGAACCTAGCTGAAAAACGGGCAAAAGGCTTTGAACAGTAACTTACAGAATGGCCAGTAAATCTTTGAAAATGTGTTCAATCTCATTAGTTTTCACGGAGTACAAAATAAAATATCAAGGGAGACATGAGGTGAAATATGAGATATGATATGCAGTGAGAATAACAAATCTGGCAATGCCAAGTCTGGTGAGGCTGTAGACTATTAGAGACCCTTATCCACTAACTGGAAATGTAAACTGGTAAAACCACTGTGATACCAGGAGGATATTTTCTAATAAAGGAAAAGTTTTACATACATTGTAAGCAAACAATTCCTTTTCTAGCCATATATCCCACAAAAAGGCATGATTATATTCTTTAGAATGCACAAAAAACTCTAATGGGCATATTGTGTATATTTGCCAAAAAAATCAGGCTCATCAGCCGTGAAAACAAGAAATAGTTGTATTCTTTAAGGGAGAATTTTACACCCACATAAAATCTTATAGCCTGATTACAAAGACAATATTAGGCATAAGAAAACAAAAAGTTTAATATGCATATATGGTTACATGTATGTAAATATGAGAGGCAAAATTTAAATACATTTTTAGGAATTCTATATTAGCAGTGAAACTATAAAGAAAATCAAGAAAACGATTACGCAAATATTCAGAGAATGATGAAGGCAAGGATAGACTGGGATTTTTGCAGAGCTGTTTGTGTTCTGCTTCATGACATGGTGTCTAATTCCATGAGTATTCACTTGGACTGTTAAGATGCACATAAAAGTTTTATGCACATATATATTGTCTCATGCTTAACAAAATAATAAAAGGTGAGCCAGAAGTGGTAGACAATATTTGTAACATAACCTATCAAGGATAGGCATTTAAAATGCATACAGAGGCCAGGCTTGGTGGCTCAGCCTGTAATCCCAGCACTTTGGGAGGCCGAAGCGAGTAGAGTGCTTGAGCCCGCGGGTTCGAGACCAGCCCAGGCAACTTGGCAAAACCTTGTCTCTACAATAAATCAAAAAATTAGCCAGGCGTGGTAGCGCACGCCTGTAGTTCCAGCTGCTTGGAAGGCTGAGGCAGAAGGATCACTGGAGCCCAGCAATTCGAGGCTGTGGTGGCCATGAGTGTGCCACTGCACTTCAGACTGGGCAACAGAGAGAGACTCCACCTCAAAAAATAAATAAATAAAAATATAATGCATACAGAATTCAGACCTTTCTTAAGTGTTATCTTCACAGTAGGGCCATTTTAAATTGTACCCCTCCTGTCAGATCGAAATGTAGTAACTTAGAATGGCTGGTCAGGTTCACTTGCTGTTTAGTTCTGATCAATTAAATCAAAGATATGACTGCCAGAATGGAGCCGCGAATCTAATTTCGTCACCAGGATGGGTTTTCTTTTCATCAGTTTTACACTTGTATTTCCATGAATCACAGCTCTAAGATGGGTTGGGCCTGAGTTATAAGCCTCTTGGTTTGATGATAAGGAAGTTCATGCTGGTAGAGCTAATTTGATATTGAAGAATTGATGACGGATGTCAAATTGGAGAAATGGAGACAACTGAGTATTCTGACCTTTATAGTATCAGAGAGACTGTAGTCTCCTTTCTCATACCAAACTCTTTCCTGTTTTGCCTATTCCATGAATCCTATTATGTCCTCATTTTCCTTGTTACGCTACTTACGTTTATTGTCTTTTCTTGTATTCATCCCATTGTCTGATTTTCCTGCTCTCTGAAATAACCACCCCTGTAAAACTGTACTTTTTATTTCTCTTTTCTTTCCTTTATCCACCTAGTTAGGAAAATCTTACTGATCACATGCCAATATAGTTTCATTACCAATTTCCTCTCCATTTGCACTTTATCAGTATTATTTTTTAAAGGAGAGAGGTCAGAGACATATATCCCCACACGCATATGAAGTATTTAATCTTGAGAAACCAAATAATTAAGTACAACATAGGCTATATGTTGATAAGCCCTAGCCATCAGAGACATAGATTCATAAGATGTTTTCCATTTTTTTTTAGTTTTAGAAGATTACAAAGGTGATGACCTGATCAAGCGGAACAAGAAAACCAAAGACAAGCACTTGCAGCAAGTAATATTCATCAATAATAAAATATTGACTAGAGAGGAAGAGAAAGTTTTGGGAAAACCATTTAATCTGCACATAGCTCGTATTTCTTCAATAAAAATGTCCTGCAAATATGACTCATGGAGAGTAGATTTGCAAAATGATTCTGAATTTATTATTAATAATAGAAACTATTCAACAAAGAAAGTAGGTTGCCATAGTGTATGTGAAAATCCACCTTTCAAAATCAAGTTTGAGAAAACTCAGACTGGAGAGAAATTGTATGAATATAATAAGAATATGAAAGCTTTCGGTTATAATGAAAATCTTCCTAAGCACCAAAAGTTTCTAAATTTGCAGCAAGTTTTTGACTATAATGAAGCTGGAAAAGCCTTTAATGATAAGGCTGACAGTGTTACACGTAAAAGTTCTCACACAGGAGAAAAGTCCTGTAAAGTTGATGACTTTAGGAAAAACTGTGGTAAGACAACTCTATTTGACCACAGGAGAGCAGCTGGTACAGGGGAAAAACATTCTCATCTTAACCAATGTGGAAAATCTTTTGGGAATTTACCTGTAGAGGAATACAAGACATTTAACATGGACATGACACATGAATTAACTGCAAGTAGAAATAATCTCAACAGCAAGTCACATCTCAGTCAACATCAGAGAACTGTCACAGCAGAGAATCCGTTGGTATGTAATGACAAAACACAACCTGGGGTTAAATCCTTTGAATATCATGAAAATAAGAAATCCTGCCAGACAGCAGCCCGCAAAGTACGCCAGAGAACTCACTCGGGGATAAAACCCTATAAATGTAATGAATGTGGGAAATCCTTCTGTCAGAAAGGACATCTCATTCAACATCAGAGAACTCACACAGGGGAAAAACCATTTGAATGTAATGAATGTGGAAAAACTTTCTCCCAGAAGTCACACCTCAGTACACATCAGAGAATTCACACAGCAGAGAAACCCTATAAATGTAATGAATGTGGGAAAAAATTTGTCCAGAAGTCGACCCTCAGGGGACATCAAAGAATTCACACAGGAGAGAAACCCTATGAATGTAGCGAATGTGGAAAAACTTTTGTTCAGAAGTCAACCCTCAGAGACCACCATAGAATTCACACAGGAGAGAAATCCTTCCAATGCAACGAATGTGGAAAAACTTTTGGCCAGAAGTCAAACCTCAGAATACATCAGAGAACTCATAGTGGTGAGAAAACTTATCGATGTAATGAATGTGAGAAATCCTTCTGGCGAAAAGACCATCTCATTCAGCATCAGAAAACACACACAGGAGAGAAACCGTTTAAGTGTAATGAATGTGGAAAAACTTTTGCTCGGACATCAACTCTCCGAGTGCATCAAAGAGTTCACACTGGGGAGAAACCATTTAAGTGTAATGAGTGTGGGAAAAACTTTGTCCGGAAGGCAATCCTTAGTGATCATCAGAGAATTCATACAGGGGAGAAACCCTTTCAGTGTAATAAATGTGGGAAAATGTTTGGCCAGAAATCAAACCTCAGAATACATCAGAGAACTCACAGTGGGGAGAAATCATATGAATGCAATGAATATGGGAAATTATGTAAGAAAACCTTAGCTATACCAGAGAATTCAGGGAAGGGGGAAGCCCTTTTGATGTAATAACTGTGGAAAATCTTTCTGACAAAAGAACACAACATTTAATATCAGAGATACTAGAAAAGCCATTTGAAGGTAGTGAATGTAAAAACAGCACCGGAAGTAAATCTTCACAGTACATCAGAGAATTCACATAGAGAAACCATATGAATACAAATGCAGGAAGAATTTTGTAGCAATCCACACAAATGTCTGTTTCTTTCAAAGAATTATTGAAGGTCCTTCTGAATGAAGTCTTAGGTGACTAGAGAGCTCTCATACACCACACAGGGACAACCGGGCCCCTGTCACAAATAAATACATATTTCTAGGACAGCCTTGGGGTGCCATGCCTTAACATGGTATAGCTTAAGATAAAAGAAGTCAGTGTGCTGACCTCCTCCACATATTTCCCAGTTTAACATCTTGTGGGCAAAAACTAAGCTTGTATAGTAGTCTCCCTTATTCACAGTTTTGCTTTCTACAGTTTTAGTTACCTGTGGTCCAGAAATTTTTAATAAAAAATTCCCAAAATAACTTCTGAGTTTGAAAATACATTCGTTTTGAATAGTGTGATGAAATTGCATGCCCTTCTGATCCATCTCTCAAGGGACATGAATTATCTCTTTGTCTAATATATCCATACTGTATGCACTACCTGCCAGTAAAGTCACTTTGTAGCTGTCTTGGTTATCAGATCAACTGTCATGATATGACAGTGCTTGGTTCAAGTAACCCTTATTTTACTTAATAATGGCCCCAAAGTACAAAAGCAGTGATACTGGCATGTTGTTATAATTATTCTATTTTATTATTAGTTGCTGTTAATCTCTTATTGTGCCTAGTTTGTAAATTAAACTTTACCATACGTGTGTATATAAGAAAGACATTATGTGTAGGATTAAGTATTAGCTATGGTTTCAGGCATCCACTGGAAGGGGTCTTGGAATATATTCCCCATGGATAAGGGAGGACTACTGTATTCTGTTGAGCTCTTAAATGGTTGAGTTTTTCTGCACATAGCATATCCCTCTGCTCGAACGACAGAAGATTACTGTGTAAGCCAAGCTTACGAGGGCACAAACTACAGAAGGTTACTGAGTCAAGGCAAACCTTGAGGATTGTCAGATAATGTGTACAGAAGATATCCTTTCAATGAAATAAAATAGACAGTACCACCTGAAACAGGGCTTTGAATGAACCTAAAAGTTTTTTGGTTGAATGATGAGCAGCCACCATCCTTTTAATGGCACAAAGCTCCCTCCACACCTGACACCGCCATATACCCCAGCCACAACTGCTTTAAGGAGAAAGAGGTTGCCCGTCTCCAAAGGGAACCACAGGTCACAGGTGCCCACCCTCTGGAAACTTGCAGGGAGAGGAGGGAGTCAAAAAAAGGTTTATGGCTTTATTGAATACAAATGCCCAAGTCAGCGTCTTACCAGTTCCTTTGGAGGCAGGTGAGCACCTAGATTTAGCGAATGTGATTTGGGTAAAGTTCACAGTAGGGAAGTGAAACAAATGTAACCTTAGGGATGGAAACTTTGGGCCAGTGAAATGTACTCTGGTTGCTTCTACCTCTGAAAGTATAGTCAGAATTAATATGTTACGTGCAGTACTTCTAAGTCATGGAGAGAATTCTAATCAGGAAGACGGCTTTTTGAGGTTCAGCAACTCTGATGACCATTTTTAGCTTCAAGTCTGTGACTGGTGATTTTGTTGATTGAAACCTCTGGCAGAAGGAGGCAGCTCTTATAAGTGTGGGGGTTGGGGGTTGACTTGCCATCCTGACAAGGCAGTCAGGCCCACCCCCCTTCTGAATAACAGCTGTTGGTTTACCCTTGGGCTTTTGTATACTGGGCACCTGACCTGAGTAGAGGTCTCTGACCTGAAATTCTAATTTTGGAGTGTGTCCTCTCGGACTTAACTAACAAAATGAAAAAGGCCCGGCAAGCCTCACTTGTGAACATGGTACATTCAAGAGTGTGGCTGTCCTAGCCCCACAGCAAAAAGAAAAAAGAAAGAGTAGCAGCCATCTCTTAGAAGGGAAACGTATCCCCCACTTTGGTTCCTGAAGCAAAAACAAAGCTGTTGGCTCAGTAGAGCCCTCAGTTCACAGAGATTGCTCTAACTGGGCGTGGTTCCCTGATGGTTTGGCTAGCTGAAACCTCTAGATGCCATGACTGTCCAAACTCTGCCATTATGCAGGCCCCAAAATGAAAGTAGTCATTCCTCTCAGTAGACATGACACAAGGATTTCTCAGCTCTGGCCAGTACTTCATTTGATGAACCCTGTTAGATTTTTATGTATCCTAGGCCCTTGCTCTGGCCTAGCTATTTGACATTCTAGTTGAAAATTATAGATTAAGATTGCCACCTTGCTACCTGGATCCAATTTTGCCCTAGAATGGCAAGAAATTCCCCATCTCACACTGGGTTCAAAGTAAAGGGGTCTATATATTCGATGCTTCCAGTGATGTCATTTGATACAAGAATCTACACAGGAATCTGTATTTTTTTCCTTTTGGACAAATAGCCAGTGCCATCCGATTAACTGACCTATTTCCCACTGATTTTAAGTATCTTCATATACTAAATTGTCCTTTGCAAAGATGTTGCATATGGCTATTTATTATCTACTTTTATTTTAGTAGCACATCCTTTTGTGAGCAAGACTGGCATATATAGAAGCCATAATACCCAACTAACTTTCTGGCCTGCTGTTGAATGTTTCACAGAAGATTTGAATCAAGTTTGGAAAGTGAAAATACCACCTAGGACTTTAGAAATGGAACATCATAGACCAGGCATGTTTTACCTCTAGAGCAACCAGCAGCCTCGCTAAGAAAATGCATCTGCAATAGAAGGAGATGAGGTATCTGTGGAGAGAAGTAGATACGGCAGGAAGACACTTGGCGCACACGTCCAGTTAGTACTGTTGTTCCATTCTTTAAACTTGGAAGTTTAACTCACTTTCTTAAGAAAATCATTTCGAATCATCTCCATCCTGCCCTCTTTTAAATAAAATCTTTTAGGATTATGACTGAGTTTAAGTATCAGGTACTCCTAGATGGAACGAATTCACCCCAGTGGCCTGAGTCATTCATTAGGAAGCCACGTGACAAAGTCCCATGGCTGGGCACTCAGCCTTTACCTGCTGTCCCTGGGCTGAGGCGGGTTCACAGGACACCTTCTCATGTAACACATCCCCAACTTAGACCATGGTCTGTGCTCTAGTCGTGAATGCTCCCTTTCTCTCCCTGCCCGTTCTTGGATCTCCTTACCAAGTTATGGTCTTTTATTCTAGCGGATGAAAGCCTCATCTATAGAGACCCCAGAGGAGTTAATTTTCTTTTTGCCCACCTACTAAGGGTCCTCGAGCTAATAACAATAGAAAAGAGGACAGGAATTTCTGTCTGCTTTATTCATAATGTACCTCAAACAAATGAAACTGCCCCTCTACATGTTAGGCATTCTGAAGTATGTGATGAAGGTACAATTATCAAAGTGGAATCTGAACATCTGTCCTTTTGATGCTCAAAATTATCTTTTGAGATGATTCATTTATTTATTATAAATGATTAAAAGTATTGTAAGCTTCACATTCACAGACTTCTGTTTTGGGTATTATCTAAATTTATTAAACTACTTAATATTCAGAAGTGTATGTACATCACTGTGCTTCAGATCTTTGTCAACCAAAACAATATATTTTCAATAAGATTCCCAGTTCAAAGGTACATCTACACATACTTTGTATGTACCCATCCAAGCAATTTTGCAAAACAATAATAATAGTAAAGTCATATTTCCAAGATCATTCAAATGGGCAGGCAAATTCTGGAGATCCTCACTTGAATCCATTTTAACAGTAGTTGTCTTCACTTTTGCTTTCCAAATTATCCTTCTGACAGTTCAAAGGGAAAAAGTTTGTTGTTTTTTAATGATGTCTTGTTCAAGAATCTAGCCCCTTGGATAGAGATCTGACCCTGAAAGAAGGGACATAGCACACTCATCTGACCTCCTGCCTCCATGTTTGTCTTTTCTGATACCTATTTCAATTTAAATGACTCTCTGGAAGCCCAACAGAAATAATATATTCTATCCTCCTAGGGCAGCCGTATACTGTAATGGGAGAGAAACACATTTGTTTTCTTGTCATATTGTGGTCTCCAAGTACCATTAGTCTGTCTGGCCAACTGGCTCTCAGTGATCTTCCAGTATTCTAAAGAACACTGACAGAAGAGTGTAATTAGCTTAACCATCAGCTGACTGACCCTTGCTACTTAACAAACTAAGAAACCAGTGGGCCTGACTTCTTGGCAAAAGGTATCTGCCAAGATAAATTTGACCGATCAGATGAGCTGGGGCTGCATGACAGGTGTAGAATGGAGAACATCGACACTAGTGATGAGTGCGAGGGGGGACCCCCAAAAAACGGAATTTGCTAAAAATTATGTATTCTCATATGTTTGAACTTCAGTCACCTGAAAGGTACTCTCCATTTGATGCAGTATAACTATCGAAATACTTTTTCCACGGCTCAAAACAAGTTTTGACTTGTCAGTTTGGATGCCTTTCAGTGCTGCTGCTGTTTTTGTCACCTTCCACATCGACAAAAATGATTCCCTTTGAGGACTTTTCTCCTCTAGGGAAACAAAAAAGTTGCTGGAGGCAAGTTCAGGTGAATAGGGAGGGTGGGGCGTGGGATCCATGCTGTTTTTCAGCCAGTGTGGGTAAGTGTGCTTGTACATCACCCATCATGAAACGGGCAAAATTGTTGGAAGAACCTCCAAAAATAAAAATTTACTGAAGCCAAATGCATTTTCTCACAACAACACTAGATGGTACACTGACGCAGATGAGTTCCTAGAACACTTACCTAGCAGGGAAGCCTGTACTACAAGGCGCCCACCCTCCAAAAAATAATTCCAGTTTTTTGGGAGTCCCCCTCATATTTTCTACCCTTGTTTGGTTTCTCAATCACCAAATGTCAGTTTCCGGGGCACATATTCTTAACACATCAATAATCTCTCAAATTGCATAGGTGAGGAAGCTATACATTTAAAACAGGAGTCAAAAAGATTTAGATACTAATTTCATGCCCTGAATAAAATTTACCCCTCTCTTGCTTAATGCTCAGGTGCACTAAAATGCCTCAACCCAGTGCACCAATCTCTCATCCTTATGGGACCCGATTAGTGATCAATCTTTTTCCCCTTTCCCTCATTTTCTGCAAGCTCTGCCCTAATCCATTTCACACCAAATAATTTGTACCCTCAGGAAACCCTTATTTATTATTTTAAAACTTCGTGTTAACCACATACCAACAATGGAGTGATATTCCAGATGACTCTTACCACCTCTGTTGCCAACCTTGATCATAACTTTTACCATTTTCCTACTGTCACTGTCACCTTGTACTGCTTGGTCAACAATAACATTTAACTGGATAACATGACCTTTAAGGAAGGGGATCACAACAGTCATATTTGAAAACACAAATTGCAAAAGCAATCCATTTTGATAGCTCTACA